AGAGAGAGAGAGAGAGAGAGAGAGAGAGAGAGAGAGAGAGAGAGAGAGAGAGAGAGAGAGAGATTGTTTTCTGACGGGTGGTGGTGGTATGGTTTATGCATTGCAGACGGTGGGCGTTGAGGAACGTGTCAGACTCCAGAAGGACGGTTTGCCAGCTGAGCGGGCATCAGCATGGGTTCATTACTGCTTTCACCTTCTCGACACACATGTAACGACCTTTTCCGACTGCTTGCAGTCATTGTATTGTCAGTAACGAGCACATGCAATCTTGCGTCGTCGTCATCAGGACCCAAACATGATCCTGATGTGCATGGACAGTTCACTAGTTTCTGCAAAGCATATGGCCCTGGTAGGAGATGTCCAACACCACCAACAGTACCGGCAGTGGATATACAAGCATATACAGGACTGTGGTATGAAATAGGTGTAACTGCAGGCTTTAAGATCGAATCAGAGCTAGGCACTCGATGTGTAACAGCCAACTACACTGCTAATGGGACAGCACCTTATGTGAGGACTCCCATAGACTTCAGTACCATACCTTTTGGGAGCCTTCCAGCTATGGCGCCTCCTCCCTCCGGACATTCGTCCACCCCAACCGCTCCTGATGGTCTACTTGATGAAGAGAGCACACCAACAGAGTCGGAACGCATCGAACAGCTGGGATTCAATCTTTCAGCGCTCGTGCCCCCTCCCGAGGGCGTGGGAAAGGCAGTCAAGGTCTTAAATCGCGGGGAGAATGTGACATCTCCTGTGGTGTTGGAGGCGGTCCTTAAGATTAGCCTCATCACACGCAAAGCTTTATCTAGCTTGGCAACTACTACTTGTCCCCTTGTGTCCTCAGAGTCTGCCCAACGCATCAAATCTGCAGCAACTGAGGAAGGGAGTCGCTCAGCACAGGCCATTGCTCGTAGCGCTGACGGTATTCTACAATCCATCGCACAAATTGTGGAGGCAGCTATGGAAGTTGTTCACGGCGTGGAATCCATCACGTTTGGCATTGCGGAGGTCAATCAGGGACATTACGATGAAGACGTCAAGCACCAGATTGCCTCTGGATCATCTGTGGTAAACGAAGCCGCAAGGGAAATCTCAAGACAGGCCAACAATGTTAAACGCAATGTCAACGAGATACTTAAACTGGCATCGTCACTCTCAGACACAACAGTGGCAAAGACGGTAAGCTATTGCTGTTATTGTTCTTTTTGTTAGCTATTGCCGCTATTGCTGTTATGGTTCTTTCTATTGTGGTATCTTACTATCTGTTGCTTTTGCTATATAAAAAATGTTTTGCCCGAACCTTAAGTCTCTGACCCTGTTTGAGTATACTTATCTTGCCCAAACCTTAAGTCTGGCCCTGTTTGAGCATACCTATCTTGCCCAAACCTTAAGTCTGGCCCTGTTTGAGTATACCTGGATTTTTGGGCGCGCGGTACGGGTCAAGCACATCACCTGGTTCAGTATCAATAGCATCCAAGGCGCATTTCGGAGAGGGCATAGGCTCATTGTCATGAACGTAGGGACATTGCAGCTATTTCCCCCTCTTGTTTTTTTTTTTAACAATGCTCCAATCTATGCGTGGGGAACAGCACGTGCTGGGAACCCAGCATCCCTTATGAAAAATATAGAGAACAACCTGAGATACCAAGGCCCCATTACCCGGCTTCTGCTGAGAAGAAACAAGAATATTAGTGAAACTGGAAAGCTACTCAACAATTGAAATGGGATCTGCAGAATGTGGGTTCTCTTTAGGCACGAAGTGCATGCCAGTGCCATTGACGGGTAGCTACGTATTGAGTTAACTCAGTTAATAAATACATATGGGCGCCTTAATCCTATGTATATAGAGACTCAAACGACACCTTTGGCACCTTCGGTCAGTGAAGCCAGTTGACTATCGATTTGTTCAGTGATTTTCGTTTTTTGTTCAAGAACAGTCAAGAAAGTAGAGGCCTCCTATCAAGATTACGCCATCAGCTGAGCCCCCTTTTTTTTGTGAAAACTGGTGAACTATTGAAGTTGAATCTGCTGAGTGTTCAAAAAGAATAGAAGCCTCCTACCAAGGTTACACCGCTGCAATCAGACTCGACTTATTCACACGTGAACAGCAGCAGACACACTGGCGACATGCGCCCACACAGTACTCAAGATATCGCAACCAGATAAGAGTTCTCTTTCAATTGGCTATGGCGGCTGTGCGCCCAAACAACTCACTGTTCACACTCTGGATCACCCTGGATGTCCCACGCACATCACTCGGAACACTCACACAGTACACACGCACTGCACTCTACACTAGATATGGCAGCTATGGCTGCCGCTACCTATCGCTATGGCTACCCTGCTTCACTCTCGCCCACTTCGTCTTCGGGCCTCCTGCAGACCTCCTTGCACAAGATGCTGAGGCAGCGCTTCCGCATGGCTTCCGCATGAATGAATGAATGGCTGGGCGCAGCCTCTTGATTTATACTTCTGTGACGCGTTGGTCTGCCCTGTAGCCCCTGGCCCATGGTGCACACAGTCCCAGACGGTACTTGCTTGACTGGACCGGACTGGGTGGACTGGTACTGCTGACTGTACGAAGTGGACTGCCACCACTTGACCACTTGCCTCTGTCTACCGTAGGCTGACTCCGAAAGGCCACTTCTAGAAACCTCTGCTTTGGCCTTTCGGTACTGTAGCAGCTACGACCTTGACCCTTCGGACAGTCTACAGCTACGACCTCTGGACTGTCTAGACTCCTACCCGATAGGTCTACAGTTCGAATCCCTGCTACCCCGTAACCTACGAAATCCTACCTACCACTGGCGGTCCTACAGGTCGCAGGTTCAAATCTACGGGTTGACACAGATACTGTACACAGGTAAGGTGGGGAACTAGGGATCGAGCCCTGGGATCTGCATCAGCTACTGCAAACCGGTGAATACTGTTTCACCGCCAACCAACCCCTACAACCCCCTTCGGCAAGACTTACCTGAGGAGCCACCATCTCCTCAGCTGCCTGGATGTGTGGATGCATGGTGGGATGTAATGTTTAACATAATTTATGCATGCAATATTGGCATGGATATAATGTAATGTAATGCAATGCAGGTGATCCAGGAGACACAGAAGATTAGCTCCTTGATCTTGACGACGATGAGCGCAGGCGTGGAAATCAAGGAGACTGCTGAGACAATCCGCAAAGAAAGCAGTTTCATATCAAAACAGGGCATTTTGAGGCCGCGAGGTATCGCAGTCACAGGGGTAAGTCACATTGACGCATGCTATATCGATGATTAAACCCCCTGTTTTTCTATTCCGGGTATTCCCTTCATAGGTTTTGTTGGTGCCCGTGCTAGTTGCTTCTTTTGCATTTGTGGCCCGCTCAATTTTCACTTAACGCCTCTCCATCTTGGAACACTTTTGGGGAAAAAGAAAAAGAAAAAAAAAAACAAAAAAAATTATGGGCTCTGGCAGCAGCCTTTTATGTGTGCAAGCATATTCTTCATCGGTAATCTCGGTGTCTTATCTTTGACCAAGATCTTGACAAGTAGTGGTGGTGTTTGTGGTGATGATCATCGTGGAGGTCATGATGTGATGATGATGGCGCAATTGATGAAGACAATTAACCATGGTAACTGTGGACTCAGACGCTGGACCAGTCCGGATGAAACTTAGGAAGTGTGTCGGAATAGATCCAGATCCAGACGTCCGGCGAACCGGACAACTGTGTGCATCTGCACATATTCAGACCCGTGCTGTTTGAACCGGGCCCTTGAAAATGTCTGGAACCGAAAACGGATAAAAGATCATATATGCAGGGTAGCCGGCGCTCAGGCTCGGCCGAACCCCCGAACCCGAACGCCCGAACGTTCGGGACCCCCCAGCCAAATGTTCGGCCCGAACGGGAACTTCCTTTTTTTTTTTTTTTTTTTTTTTTTTTTTTTTTTTTTTGGGGGGGGGGGTTTTTCCCCCCCCAAATAAAAAAAAAAAAAAAAAAAAAAAAAAAGGGCAGGGAGGGAGTTTGCTTGCCAAACGGAAAGAACCCTCCCGCCATCTGTGTGTGTGTGTGTGTGTGTGTGCGTGGGTGTGGGTGTGGGTGTGGGTGTGGGTGCGCGCAGAGGGTGGGCGACCCCCCTGCCACAATCAATCAATCAATCAATCAAAAAATAAAAAGGGTTGAACGCACAATCAGGCGCGCGCATGTGTGTGTGTGTGTGTTTGTGTGTTTGTGTGTGTGTGTGTGTGTGTGTGTGTGTGTGTGTGTGTGTGTGTGTGT